TTGTGAGGCGGTTCGCGAAGAGGCGAGGCCCGGCGGCCGCGAGGCCCCGCCCCCATACCTGTCCGGCTCCCTCCAATGGGGCCTCGCTTTGTGAGGCGCTTGGCTCGAGGGGCGTGGCCAGGGCCTAGCACCACGCCCCCAGTTCGTGGCCCCGCCTTTGGCTGCACTCTTGGCCGCCTGGCTGCTAAAGCAGCTTCCGAGGGTCTCCGGCCCCTGCGCCCGCACTCAACCCCTCTTTCTCTTCCCCGTCATCTCTGCCCCCTCCCACAGCCCCGTCTCTAATCTTAGTCACCGTCTCCTTTCGGACACAAAATTCTTCCACCCCTCCGTCTGGGTCCTCCCTCGTCCCTCTCTTACTCTGTTTCTCTCTCCCCCGGTGATGGCTGGCCAGCGAATCCCCCAGAAGCCAGGATAAATACCCCATTCCTCAACCCACACGCATACGCACCCATCTCCTCTCTGAGCCCCAGGTCCCCTGTTCCAGGATCCTCTCCGTGTTGGGAGCCCCAAACGAGCTGGCAGCCACTTCCCATCTTCCCAACCCTCACCCTTGTGTGGACGTCCACAAAGCCCCAGTGCCCCCAAATCCTCATCATCCACTCCCTATACCCCCACAATGCAAGGGTCTTAACAAAGACCCCATGTGGCTTACAACCCTCCGACACCTCCACTGGCCCTCACAGACACCCTAACTGCAGCTCTCAAAGGCAAAGAATTCAGGCACGCCCCTTGACCCGCCCAGAAGTCCAACAGTGGAGCCCCTGAGGTCCCAGGCATGAAAGAATACGCTCCCTGGAACCAGCAGTTAGCGTAATGGCTATGTCGCTGGACTCCCACGTAGTCGACCACGGTTCGTGTCCCGGACCCGGTGGCTTAAAACTCACACCGGGCGCGTGTGCGTGCGTGCCCAAGATCCCAAGAGGAGAATGGAGGAGAAGGGATTGCGGCATGACCATCCCCCCTGGGGGGTGATTTCTCGCTTTCTGTCTCTATGTTTCTCTCTGTCTGTCTGGCGAGCCCTCGCGCCCTACAGTGAAAATCTCTCCAAAACAAAATAAATAAAATAAATAAAAAATAAAATAAAAAAGAATACGCTCCATAGGCCTTGGGCACACCTCAACACCCGCTGTAATTAATAACTTAGGCAGACACACGAAACATACTCTGGGTACCCTAGGCTCACGAATACAGTTGGGAAGAGTCAGGTGCCCACATCAGGTGTGTCCTGGAAGGGGACCTGAAGGGGTGTGGGTATTTCCTGGGCCTGGTAGAGAGACCTGGAGGGGGACCTGGAGGGGTGTGGGTATTTCCTGGGCCTGGTAGAGAGACCTGGAGGGGGACCTGGAGGAGTGTGGGTGTTTCCTGGGCCTGGTAGATCCTAACATCCCCCTCCCTGTTGTTCCTAAGAAGCTGGGAATCCAGAGAGGGACTTCCTGCTTTCTGCCGAGCCTCCAGGCCAGTGTCTGCACCCCATCACATCTCCGTGAGGAAGGTGCCAAGGCCAGGGGACCCCTCATTGCCTCTGATCAATTCCCTGAGAAAGCAGCCGCTGCCGGAGTTCCCTAGAAGTAACTGCAAGAGCCCATCCCCAAGGTCTGGCCAGCACGAATGAAGGGCTTGCAAACATGGACAGAGGAGTCCCCCAGTTCTCAGCTTCATGGGCAGGCCCGGAAAGTGCTGAACTCGGGGGGCTCAAGCGAGGAGGATATGGACGTGGGCCTCTTCCGGGATGCTGAGTGGCCAGGGATGGGCATGGCACCCAAGTGAGCATCCCGTCCAGCCGTGTCTCCTTCCGATGACATTTTCTTTAACATGGAAGAAAAAGAGACAAGTAGGTAATCTGGGGTCTTAGAACCTAGAGTTTCTCTATGTTCTTTTTGTTTGTTTGTTTGTTTTAGAGAAATAATCCCCCACCCTGGGGGGATGATCACGCCACAATCCCTTCTCTTTCATTCTTCTCTTGGGATCTTGGGCACATACGAACATACATGCCCAGCGTGAGTTATAAACCACCAGGTCCGGGGCTTGAACCGCAGTCGACTACATGGGAGTCCAATGACATAACTATTATGCCATCTGCTGGTCTGAGGGCTTCCTATGTTATAAGCCAAAGACACCCCTAGCCCATAAGGCCCTATCTCACCTGGCTGGACCTTGGCCTCTAAACACACACCTGTCTCGACCTTCCATTCTCCTGCCTTCCTCTCTGCTGAGCCTGGAACTAGAAAGCCTGAATTCAGGGACCAGCAGTTGGTGTAACGACTGTCACTGGACTCCCATGTAGTTGACCGTGGTTTGAGTCCCAGACCCGGTGACTTAAACTCACACCGGGCGCGTGTGCATGCGTGCCCAAGATCCTGAAAGAATGGAGGAGAAGGGATTGCGGCGTGGCCATACCCCCGGGGGGTGACTTATCGCTTTCTGTCTCTCTGTCTCTCTCTGTCTTTCCAAATGAGCACATGTGCCCTATAGCAAAAACCTCTTAAAGAAGAAAAAAAAGAAAAAGAAGTCACAGTCCTGACACTGTATGATGAGGGGCCAATATCCTTTGAAAACACAATGGGTTTTTTTGAGACCCTTCCCCTAGCTGGAAACTAATGTGGGATATTTGAGCTAAAGTCCCTGAAACCAAACGAATCTTTTTCTTTTTTTGTTTCCCGTGTTTGTTGTTGTTGTTGTTTTGTTTTGTTAGGTTTTTTTTTTGCAATAGGGTGCATGTGCTCACCAGAGAGAGACAGAGAAAGGGAGAGTGAGAAATCACCCCTATGGGGATGACCACACCATAATCCCTTCCCTTTCATTCTTATCCTGGGATTTGGGGCATGTATCTAAACACGTTTGGCGTGTTTTTCAAGCGGCCAGGTTTGGTACTCAAACTGAGGTCAGCTATCTGATAGTCCAGAGTCTTAACTACCACACCAACAGACCAATCCTTTTCTATTTTTTTGGAGAGGTGTTTGCTATAGGGAGCATGCACCCGCCAGAAAGAGAGAGACAGAGAGACAGAAAGCAAGAAATCACCCCCCAGGGCGGATGGCCACGCCGCAATCCCTTCTCCTCCAGTCTCCTCTCGGGATCGTGGGCACGCACGCACACGTGCCCAGCGTGAGTTTAAGCCACCGAATCTGGGACTCGAACCATGGTCGACTACATGGGAGTCCAGCAACATAGCCATTACACTGTTGGCCCCCCTAAACCAATTTTTATAGCAACATTAGACTGTCACAAAGCTCCCTGAACAACCCCACATAAGCCACTAAGTCTCCTTTTCTCCTCTGTCACCATCTGAGGGTCTGAAGATTTGTTCTGACTGAGTCCAAAGGTGGCACTGATCACCACGACAAGCTGTCCTGGGGGACTGCCCACTCCACACCAAGCACTGCCCCCCTCAGCCCCTCAATCTTCTCGTCCCCTGCACTCCTTCCTGGCCCCCAACAGCAGGCCATCACAGCCTGGTGGCTGCCCCAAACTTCCCCGCAGTTGGGACAGTCAGCAGAAAACCCCGACCGAGAAAAGGAGCGACTCACCGTGGATATCGCAAACAGGGAGTTATCGAAGGCCATGTCTGAAACAGAGAGAGAGAGGAGAGCGGGGCTGGGTGTTACTGTCCCTACCGGCCACCTTCCCCTGCCTTCCCGGCAGCCCAGACGCCAAAGCTGACCTTGGAGAAGGGGGTGGGTACATCTCCCAGCACCCTCCCCTGCTCCCTCAGCCCACTCTTTATTTTTTTTCTTTTTTTTGGAGAGGTTTTTTTTTTTTTTTCTTTTGCTA